AAGGAGTGAATGAGAGACTTGTTAAAGCTGTGATGCAGCTGTATGAAGGGGCAAAGACAAAGGTGAGGGTGGAAGGGGGATGTCGGACGCTTTTAGTGTTAAGGTAGGAGTGCATCAAGGATCAGTGTTATCACCGTTTCTGTTTGCAATTGTGATGGATGTTGTGTGTGGAAACATAATGGAGGGGTTGTTATTTGAGATTTTGTATGCAGATGATTTAGTCTTGATGGCTGATAGCATGGAAGAATTGCAGTTAAAATTTGACAGATGGAAAAGTGTTATTGAAAAGAAAGGGTTAAAAGTTAATATTGGTAAGACGAAGGTAATGGTGGGTGGGGAAGGTGGGGAACGAGTGATAAGTAAAATAGACCCCTGTGGGGTATGTGATAGGAGAGTGAAGGCTAACTCGGTATTGTGTATAGGATGTCAGAAATGGGTGCATAAGAGATGTAGTGGTGTGAGGGGGGCACTGAAAAAGGTGGAAGGCACGTTCAAATGTAAGAAATGTGTTCATGGTGTGATTAATAGGACGGACGCAAGGACGGGGTGGAGTGATGGTATTGAAAGAGTGGAAAGCTTTGTTTACTTAGGGGATAAGCTGAATGCGGATGGAGGATGTTTGAGTGCAGTTACGGCTAGAGTTCGTGTGGGATGGATGAAATTTAGGGAACTGGGTGGGGTTTTGTGTGGAAAGAAATGGTCAGTGAAGATGAAAGGGAGGGTATATAAAGCATGTGTGAGAGCAGCGATGATATATGGTGGTGAAACTTGGGTGTTGAGGAGAGAGGAGGAAAGTGTACTGCAGAGGGCTGAAAGAGCTATGGTGAGGATGATGTGTGGGGTTAAAGTGAAGGATAGGAGGAGTAGTACAGAGCTGATGTCAATGATGGGACTGAATGAGGACATTGTGACATTGATAAGGAGATCGAGATTGCGGTGGTATGGACATGTGTTGAGAAGGGATGAAAGGGTCGGGATTAGGCGAGCGTTGGAGTTCGAGGTTGAAGGAGTGGTAGGAAGGGGTCGTCCGCGATTGGGATGGAGAGAGCAGGTGGAGAAGGACAGGGTGAAAGCGGGGTTGCGTGATACTGAGGCGAGTGACAGATGTGGATGGAGTCGAGGGGTATTTCGGTTTCATCATAGGTAGCCAAACGGCAACCCCCGATCTCGGGGAAAATGCCGTCTAAACGTGTGTTGTTGTTGTTGTTGTGTTGTTATTGAATCATTGCCTAGAAAAACCTTCAAAGATGATGATGTTAAGCAGTTGCTGTAACAAAAGAACTTACTTTATGCGTTTCTATTTTTCTTTTTCTTCCAAATTCAATTTTCAAAATTTAATTTACCAAAAAATTAAATTTCTTTCGCACAAAAATTCAAACTTTCTCCACTCTTAAATAATATCAAACGTTTCGCCACACGGCAATAAAAACGTTCCTTTTATACAACACAAGTTAAACTCTCTCTCCCTTCCTCTCTCTCTCTCTCTCTCTCTTTCTCTCTCTCTCTCTCTCTCTCTATCTATATATATATATAACAAGAATAATAAAAATAATTATAGTTATGACAATAATTAACCAGTAAACATATTGAACAGACAGACTTCAGCCCTTGAGAGCATTCAGATTAATTATTTTTTAATCAAGTTTTTATCAGTATTAAAAATTAATGAAGATAAAAATATTAATAATAATAAAAAACCTTGTAATACTTCTCTAATATGAGAAGGTTTTTCTACAAATATTTTTTACCTGAACATTTGTAAGTTCTATACAAATATTTAAACAATGATAATGATATATATTATGTACATTTGGTAGTTAAGATGGGCAAATTTCGTGTGCAAATTTCATTGAACAAGTTAAATTAAGTATACATCAGAGGGGTAGGCAAGAGGGAAGGCAATAAACATTTTTGATAGGGTTAACGCTAAATTTAACGAAATGTCTATAAATGTTTGTGAAAATTTGAAGTAAAAACTTTTAAGCTCTTCACATCAATAAAAATATTCTGAGTTATGTTGTAAACTAATGATTTTAATAGCCAAATCTCATTAAAATTGCGTGGTGAACAATAAAGAACTTCTAATATGCGATAAGATATATTACTCCTTTGAATACATAAAAAATTTAGTTGCTACTAATTATAAAATAAATTTGTGATAGCAAAAAATGTTTTAACAGAATGGAAAATCAACGTGGTGACGTCATTTATTTATTTATTTATTTTTTTGTTGCAGATGGTGACGATTTTGGCGGCATTAATATTTGTTTGAAAGGATAAAATTAATTTTCTGTAGATGGAGCTTTAGTCACATTAACATTAAAAACTATAGCATTAATAGGAGCAATATTAGTGCCATATAACATCAATGGTAGTAACAACGTACTAATGGTGTTAATGAAAAAATTTTCAGTAGGTAGGCGGCTGTTAAATTCTTTACCCGAATCGATCTTACATCAGAATACTACAACATAAACGTATTGACCTACAATTAAATAAATATAACAACAAGACATAAAATCAAAAGTTAACAGTGTAAACAGACAAGTTAAACTTACTTAATACAATTACATATTCTTCGAAGAAACTTTACTATCTGCACAAGTAACACGCTGATTTGAAATGGATCACACGTGTACGTGGGCCATGGTAACAGGTGTGGTTAAAGATAAATTTATAAAGGGTGATAGGAGTAGGAAGGATTGCATGCTGCTCATTGAAACCTGCAACATTTAACAACAGCAACATAGAAATAATTCATAGTAGCAATCGACAACAACATGATCAATAACACATCCAATTAAAATCTATCGGCAAACAGTCAACATTACTTCAAACAACAAACAACCTTGTTTGTAGAAAAATAAAAAAAAATAAAATAAAATAAATAAAATACATATCACCAAAATAAGCAACATTTTAATCTCATTAAGTTTTTAATTTCAAAATTTATCAATTAAATTTAATACGAATTGATTTATGCTATTTTCATAATTTTAGATAACATCATCTTAGATCGGCATGTGTGTTTGTCTTACCTTTTGCTCACGTCATTAACTCAGTGATACTAAATTCATCATTGTATTGCACAAGCACTTAACAGAAATTCTTCATCAATAATATTGTATTATTAAAAAATTTCTCGAACAATGCTTTGTAATGTCTCCGGTACGAAGTGATAATTACAATGATAAGTTTTACTCATCTGAGAGTGAAAATGAAGTTAGATTAAAAAATAAAAAATCCTACCAGTGATTTTTAAAAGATAGAGACTAGAATTTTTTGGCTGAATGTTTCGGGGTGGGTTAGGGTTAGGGTTTTATAAATATAGGACAACCACGAATACAAATTTCAACCTACATTTTTATGGCACAACCTTGATTGTAACGACAAAAAAAGGAGCCTGTGCGTCGGTGCTTGCTACGGTCAAAGTCATTTCTTCTTCTGAATTCTTCTGAGATGTCATCCACACACAAGCACAGACCCCGTACGCACGCACACGCATACACAAAGCATATGCTTTTCTAATTAATTTTAATAAATTGGATAATAATTACAAAGTTACTGTTAGAAATATTGAAAAGTTCATTCGTAAACTTTCAAATGCTAAAAATTCGGTAGATTATCAAATATTGGATATATATATATATATACATATATACATATATATACATACTATAAAAAGTATTCTTCAAGTTTATTCACGTATAAGTTATAAACATTATAAAAAAAATAATGCGACAAACAAATTTTTATTGAAAATAAATCAAATATAAAAAATGTATGAAGCTACATGAAGCCATTTTAATGAACGAATTCCATTAGCTACAACACAGGGAATGGATAAAACAACAATGAGTGACGGATTATTATTGATCAAAGATGCATTAACTAAGTCACAAACAAATATTTAAACAAAGACAAATCCATCAACAAAATGGTAGAAATATTCACGGCTTTGGGAAAAATCGTTATTAACGCTTCGTTTTCAATATAACTTTTGCCGTCTTTGATTTGATTTTGGGTTATTCTAACAAAATTAATTAATAAAAGATATTATGAAGCACAATAATTAATTATAATTTATATTTGATATTAAATGATGATCAGCCTGATAAAAGTTAATAATTAATACACAATAAATCATTGTTAAACTCAAATTTACTGTAATTAAGTTAAATTTTTATTTAATATTCTAAAAATTAAAGCAACATTTTTCCATCAAAAATGTCTCTAATCTCTTATCTCATCAGTATCATCTTACTTAGGATTGGATGTAAGTAAAATGGGAAAAAATTCCGATTAGGAAATCAATACTAATAAATAATGAGTGACATAACTGGTTTCAATAACACAAATGCAAGTTATTAAGAATAAATTGCTGAAAATAATTTTATATTTATAGGCATTTTTTCTGATAAAGAACTAAAATTTAGAGTTTAAAAATTATTTAAAACATTAAAAATTGATATTTTCAGCGCCTTGCGGAGAACCTGGCTCTCAGTGGCTAAATTTTGGCCAATCATGTTACCGCTTCTCTACGGCACTAGCGTCCACTTTTGAAGAAGCATTGAACATCTGTATAAGTATGGATAGCTTGCTGGTCAGCATTGGTTCATACGGAGAAAATAACTTCATTGTCCAAAAAGGGTTATCATATACATACCAGTATTATTAAAAATATTTTCAACAGATTTTATTAAATCAAAGTATTCTACCGATTATTAAATTTTTAAATTACGAAAATGTTGAATAATAAAATTGTTATTATTAGAGCATATTAAAATATTTTGATGAGTAGTTCTGGCCTGAGCACGAACTACTGGATTGGGATGTACAGAATAAAATGCCTCATAGACGAAGGCCAACATAGTTATTGGCTCGATGGAACTGATTTCAAATTCTCTAACTGGCTTGTTGATGAACCTGACGAAAATACCTGCTGTTCGAGGATAATAGCTCAAGGAGTCTGGAGAGATAAGCCTTGCAATAATGGATACCTTTACATCTGCGAAAAACCGCTGGAAATAAAATGTGATGTTTCAGAATATTTAATTGAAATTTGATTTTTTTTGGTCAAGTGCTTTCAAATGCTACAAATTTAAACATTTGAAATAAACTTATAACACTTTCAGACAAAAACACCCAATAAATATTATCAATTATTTGTAATTGTAGCACAAAACATTTCAATTTAAATTTGAAAAAATAAATTCATTCATTCAACAAGCAGTTTACCGTTTAAAATGCAGTACCCACAGAGAAGAGAGCCATAAAACGTTTGACTGACAAGTACATTGTTGGTGATAGTTTGCGAGAGGTACACGTCAAGAGATGCTCGCCAATGCACTGCCTGTCACTATGCATGCAAAACTGGATATGTGGCGGCTTCAACATGATACCAGAGCTTTCTGGGGGCTGTAGCTGTCATCTCAAGGATGCCAGAAGCTGGTTGACATTTAATACGGTATCAAAAGCTGGAGCTGGGTACTGGAGCTACCCTATTTACGGCTATGATTGATTTGGTGAAAAATTTGTTTATAAGTTCTTAGTTAGGTGAAGATACTTTTAGTGTTACCATTAACTCCAGATCATTGCTGTTTGGGATGATTGAAAAATTGGACTAATTTAATAACCATGAATGTTACATCCCTTATATATATGTGTAAAATATATATATATATAATATATATATATATAACTGTTATAACTGTTGTTATTTCGCTGAATAAAGCTATTTTTGAATTGAATTGAATATATATATATATATATATATATGTATATATATATCAATCAAATCACTTTTATTCAATCAAACAAAACAAAAGCATGATATATATATATATATATTGACGTAATGTTACGCTAATTTTGGAGAACCAAATTTTGATAAATAACACAATGTAACATATTTGAGTTATTTCTTGTAATCCAGCCAGCATTATTTTAGTTTACAATCATTAATAAATGTTACAACAAGGGGATGTTTTATGAAATCTACTACAAGTTGATTTATGACTTTGTAAACCAAAGTAAAGTCATTTACATTGTAAATGTTTAAACATTGTAAATATACATTGTAAATTATATTGTAAATTATTAATTACATCGTTAAATCGTTTGTTAAGAACAAAAACTTTGTGTGAACACAAAGGAGTTAGTGCAACCGATTGAGTATATATGGGGAATGAATGCACTTTCACCATCAAATTTTCTGCTTCATGTCTTCTTCTTACGAACTTGAATGGAAAAGAACAACTTTATTTTATAACGATGTTTGACACGTTTTCAAAAATGTTCAATCAATGTTCAATCTGCCTGCGAAGGACGAAACCCAACAGGAGAGCGGTTATTTTTGAGTGCTCGCATGAATTTTGTTTCACATGTATACGGGACATGCTGATAAAAAACAATCAGTTCGTCCTAGATGCAATATGAATTTCAGGAAAATAATTTTAAATATTAGAGAAAATAACGGTTTTGAGACGTACGAATTAAAAAAATTTAGGTAAGCAAGTCTTTAAATTATATTTGCGTATACGAATACAACTATTGACAAATTTAAAAAAATAGAAATTTTTGAAAATCTACAGGACAAGTCGTTGCATAACTGCCCAAGGTTCAGATTGTGACCATCAGCCAATCAATGAGATGAAAACAGCTGGTATAAAAATAAACAACAAGGACTCCACCACGTCAACAAAAACATGGCCCAGGTCTGTCCTTGTAAAGCCGTCAGCTTGTAAAAAACTTTCTGTTGAAAAAAAAAGTTTCCTTCAAAATTAAAGAAGACGCTTCTTCTAGCTTTCATAAGGAGAAAATTTTGTTTTTTGTTTGTTTGTTTTGTTTTTTTGCCATTGTCGTAATGTTCATTTTCTGCGTATTTCACATGTAATAAAGATTAGTTTATTTCAAGAACTTTTTGTGTTAAATTTGCTTCGGATTAAAATTTTAAAAATATTTTTAAGGATCTTGAGGATGGTCAGTATTTCGCGAAAAATGTTCAAATTAATTTTATTTATTAATGGAAAACTAGAAAATTTTTCAACTGATTCAATTTTGAGTTTAAAGGGACATGACACCTCATTGTAAAAGTCTTTGTGGACATGCTCTTTACTTTACTATGTCGTGAATCGTAAATTCAGACAAAGATATTTCAGTACTTGTTACAAAGTAAGGTGAAATAGAACACGACCTGGCGACACCAATGGTTTAGCTCAGTCAATAGAAGTTGCAGTTGCATGTCTGGTGTTTTTACCCAAATGAACTGATTTCTATTGTACAGTCAGTCCAGATACAGATAGACAAAATATACAGATAGACAAGTTAAATCTGCTACTACTAGCAGCTGTTGTGGCCACAAAAGTGATGTGGCCTCAAAAAATTATTTGGCCTGGTCTAGCGTAATAATATATTGATTTGGAAGTCATCAACATACGCTTTTGGAAAAAGGTTTTGTTTTGATTTATTATCTGTTTTATCATAAACTATGAAAACATTTAATTTGAAACTTGTCAAAAAAATATATTAGGCGTAAGCATAGTCATTGTTGCTATTTCATCCATGTTTTCATGAAATATAATCATGATTTGATGCTTAAAATTGAAATAGTGGTAATAAAAAATATCTTTTGATTATTTCAATAATTATTAGGTTGGAATTATGAACCAGAAGTATCGACCGTATGTTTATAAGATGATACGCTAAATTATCAATATATACTTAGAGTATAAAAAATATTTATTGCTATTAATTACACATTGTTTTAACTATTCATATAAATAATGTATTCATAATATCCGACTGAGATGCTTTTTAATAATTTAATCTTTAGTTTTTCTTAAATAGAATTCTTCTGACATTTCAAGTTTTTTTTGCTTATATTTTCTTTTTCAAAAAATATGTTAAAGCTGGTTGAGAAATATATAAGATAAAAAAACGGTTGTTGATTATGGCCTGTGTCCTGTGTAGATAAATTACGATATTACGCTTGCCGCGTTATACAAAAATAACATTTCTTAAAACATGTCTCGGAATGTCTTCTAAAATACAAATAGAAACAAAAAAAAAGACTTTCTGGAAAAATTTCTTCAGAAATCACCATTTTTACATTCTTGAGAGCGCCTTAAAGCGCAATTTGGAACGAAAGACGTAGTCTCCCTACTTAGCTTAATAACACGCACAGTGTTCAGCATAATGGCATAGTAGGCTGGTTAAATGAAATTACTCGACCAATCAGCTGCCGTAGGCATACGTAAAAGTTTCTTTCTGCGCCGAATAAATTTTTATTTCAATGTTTTAACAATTTAATCGAACCAAATAAACTAATTAAGTCGTGACTATTGAAATAAAAAAACGCTAACCTGGACAAAGCAAAAAAAGAAAACTCAAAAAAACCCAATCTGCAAAACAAATTTAAAAAAACATCCAATTTTAATAAGAATTATAAGAAGCCAGCCTTAGAGGACAACCTTAACCTTCAAGAAAAGTGACACGTAACTAAAAAGCGCCACATAAAAATAATTTTGTAATTATCAAAGATACTGAATTTAAAACAAAACACATACAGTATACATATCGACGCAAAGTTACGCTAATTTTTGAAGAACCAAATTTTGATAAATAACTCAATGTAATATATTTGAGTTTTTCCTTGTAATCCAGCCAGCAAAATTTTAGTTTACAATCATTAATTAATGTTACAAGAAGGGGATGCTTTATGAAATTTACTACAAGCTGATTTATGACTTTGTAACCCAAAGTAAAGTCATTAACAACGTCTTATTACATCGTTAAATTGTGTTTTCATCCAAATGAACTGATTTCAATTGTACAGTCTGTCCAAAACTCAAAGTCTGTCATGCTGTTTTTTTATGCATGTATGTCTGTGTGTGTATGTGGTGTGTGTGTGTGTGTGTGTGTGTGTGTGAATTTTTCTTATACAGAGTGGTTTTAATGTAGATATTAAATAAATTGTCTTAGTTTGGTTTTTAGAAAAACTTACAAATGACAAAATTTTTTCTACTGAACTAATTATTATTGTTTATGTTATAATTATCATTAACAAAAATATAATTCCTACTAAAATTTGTAAAAAAAAACGTATATAATAAAATATTCTACAGATGAATTTGCATGAATGATTTTTTGTTTGCAATTTGGATCGAATTGGAATTCATAAGGAGGTGATGGTATAGATGACTAGGGGGATTCCAGAATTTTATTACGTTAAATTTGTATGAGAACATATTTTTAAATAACAATTTTCGATAAAATATTTATCAAATGTAAGTCGTCAGCATTAAATAAGCAATATAATTTAATTTATAAAACTTAAGCATATAATATTTTCATTTTCATAAAAAGACATTATAAAATTTCTGAATATACGCTCGTAAAAAAATGTTTATTAATTAATACAATTTAAATGTAAATAAAGAATGGTAAATTTAACCACAAAAAATTTTAAATGGAAAAATGTTCATTTAGAAAAAATATAATTTGATTTAAACAAAAATATTTGAGCTGTGCGTCGTTAATATTGACCATTTTCTACTTCGTGATCAGAATAATGCTTCAGTTAAGTTTTTCAAATAATTAAAACATTTAAAACCTTTTTCATAGTTAAAACAAAACTTTCGAATAAGGCAAATAATTTAAAATATGAGGTTTCAAATGAAATTAAAATAAGTTTTAATGGTTATTTGTTGAAAAAGTTTGAATATATAGATAATGATTATGACAAAATCAAAAGAAAATGTAGAACATTTTTAATTTGGAGGTGCAAACTAATTGCAAGACGGACGGTAGCGGCACTCCAGCTTACATGGATCTGTCCTCCATTGCTCCAGATACAGCTGTTCCCTTTCAAATTAGTGGCAGCGAAAATGACAATGAAAAAAGAAACAAAAGCAACTTTATGTGCATTGAAAATTTCAGAAATGCTACTGTTGACAAGTTTCTATCGACGTCGCGAACTTTGAGGAACAACAGATTCGTCAAATTTAAAAAGTTCAGAATAAACAAAGTGTGGAAACGATACCATTTAAATGATGATGCAGGCGACGAAAATGTTTTCTTGGTTGAAGGAAAACTGCTGAATTCACTCGATGAAATATCGGTTATTGGGTGCGTTTGCGCTCAATAAATTTATTCATTTAAAAACTTCTAAATTTTCAATTTTTGAAAATGTTTTTCAATTTAAAGCAATATAAAATTGGTTACGATTATCCACAAAAGATAGATTCAGATGCTCCTGCTGTACCCGCTAACAAAGAGATACATGCTTCTTTTTTTCAGACTGGATTCAAAAACTAAAAATCTGATTAAAATTTTTTTCTTAGTTAATTGAATCTTGTTGCGTGCTGAACTCATTATTCATTGAATGTCCCATTCAATAACACAACACAGCATTGAATTCTGTTTATTAAGATGACGTTTTTAATTTACTAAACTTTAATGAAGTTTTATTAAAATCTTTTCTATAATTTCGAAACTACAAAACTAGGATGAGACACATAACAGACACAAATCGTTCGCTGACAAATCGAGCCATGTGGATTCTTCTCATCTTGACGGCGTTCTCCCTGTCCGTCTACCAGATTGCAGACCGCATCTCATACTATTTGAACTACCCCACCCTAACAGAATATGACGTAGTGCCATCGGGGGATATGATGTTCCCTCAAGTAACTATTTGCAACAATAATTATATCAAGCTTTCAGCGGCTCGACATTTAGGTGACTGTTAGTCAGTATTTTTACGGTTATATGACAAATTATTTAAAGTAAACGCTTTGTTACCTTTAAAGGTTTTATTGAAAATAATACTTGAAAAATAATAATTTAAAAATAACGAATTTAAGGCTTGGTAGAATATTTTCAGCAATTCACTTACAATTACCTAATGGATATTTATAACGAGACTATTTCAAATCTTGATCATCCGAAGTTTGAAAACGAGACAGAATTTATAAAAGTCAGAAAATTTTTATCTCCAGGACAGGAGCAAATGATAGCGGTAAAATAATTTGTTTGTTATAAACATGAATTTCAATTTGAGATATTTGGAAAAAAATTGCTCAATAGTGCTTTTGGAGCAAGACATCATGCCCAGATGAAACGGTGTTCACAACATTCACAGATGCAGGCCAATGCATTGCTATAAACCCAAGTGTGTAGCATTTATTTTTTTATTGAAAAAACAAAATTCATTTTTAAAATGTTTGTTAATTGATTTAAACTCTAAACCTAAAACTATTTTGTAACAACAATTTAACAATCGTTTTAGGTAAGACAACTTCGAGCGGACTTAGTGGATTTGGTCGCGAATGACTTTTTTATAATTTTGCTGAAGTTGTCAACGCAATAAAAACTTTTTGTGTAAATTTTACTCGAAAAATTCATTTTAATGATTCTCCTTAATACATATAGAAATTAAAATAATAATTAAATTTTGAGTGAATGGTCTTTTAATGATTGCGGCCACTATTACTTTATGAATATGTGTATTTTTGTGGAATCAAATAGTACATTTACATATTTTAAAAACTAAAAAAAATTAAAAAAATAATCAAGATGAAATAATACAAACTTATTTTAAAAAGTTGAAAACATAACGTACCAACAGGAAAAGCGAAGAATCCGATAAAAGGAGCTGGTGTCTCAATGGGGTTGCATCTATATCTTTTCGCAAATCAGTCTGACTATTTCGTACCTAATGAATACTCAACTGGATTTCGGGTTAATGCTTTTAGTCATCAATTTTAAACAAAAACAAGTGATTAAAGATTGAAATTATTTGCTAATTATGGCTAATAGTTCCAACCAACATGCTGGCTGTTGGCTGTCCTTGTTTGAATGAACGTTAGGTTTATTTCAAAGACTGTCAGCCAGTCAAACACATGGTATACATACAATATTGAAATTGTGATTGATTGCACATTTAACAGTTTAGCAGTAATGTTCCAATGAAAACTGCTCCCAATAGTTTATAGATGAATCACCTTAATGATATTATTTTTCTTAACACAGATTTTAGTGCATGAGCCCGATGAGCCAGCACGAATGGGCGAACTGGGCTTCAAGGTCAACCTTGGTGACGAAGTCAATGTTGCTATTTCCGTAAATAAGGTGAAACATCATTTCACACTTTAGAGCCGATGTATTATTATTTTATTAATTGGATGCCGCCCCACTCTGCCTTCCCTTCTAAGTAATGTCGATAGTGTTTTAAATCGGCGCCAACGTTTCATTCCCATACTTCACATATAATAATATGTTAATTGAAAGTTTCGAATTCATCAGATGAAAAGATTGAAAGCTCCTTATGGCACGTGCACCGACTTACCGAACTACAATCCAGTCAAATGCGAGCAGAGGTGCCTTGCTAGTGAAATCATCAGCAAATGCAACTGCAGACCTATCTACATGGAAGGTTCAACTTCGTGGTTTTCAATTTCTAGTTTGGCATTATTATTAAATTTTAACAATTTTGTTAATAATAGAAATTGGAAATGGAAAAATTTGTAATTTTTACATGGAAAAAAAGTGCGTTGAAAATATTACCTTTGGGTATAACTTTAATAAGCCAAGTAACATTTCATGTTCTTGTCCTCCACTGTGCAAGGAAATAACCTACCAAACATCAAGTACCGGCTCGAAATTATCTGAACAGTTTCTAAAAGCATGTAACACAAAGCTCAAACTGGACCCTGAAATATTTGTTGCAAAGGATCTGGTGTATTTGAAAATTTACTTCAGCAGCATGCAGTACACGAGAATTAAAAACGTGGTAGAGTACTCGGAGGTGTCCCTTCTGTGCGATCTGGGAGGAGCTCTGGGCCTCCTACTTGGTTCCACCATGTTGACGATCATTGAAATTTTCGAAATAATGTGGAACCTGATCATTTACGTAGCACTCAAAATGAAAGAAAAATGGCCAAATAGAATAGCCTGGATTTTTAAAAAATATTAACCATTTTTACAGCTAGAGGATTGTTTTTGTAATTTCGATGATTTTTAACTTGTTTGATGTTAGAATTTTAGTAAAAGTTATTTTAACATTTATCACCGACTATCTAAATATCGACATTTATTAAAAAAAATTTAAGTGTCAATAAATTTTAGTCTTTGTGAATAATTTATCATTTTGAAAATCCCTTGCAACCACAAACTTCTGGATACGCCACTGGTAGTTATCATGGTTAAATAAAACCAGGAGGGTAGCAGTTTAGTTCAATCGCTAGTTTTTATTTTTTAAAATTCGTTAAAATTGTAATGATGATGCTTTGTTGAAAACATTTTATTTCATTTGTTGGTTAATTTTTTAAAAATCATTTATTTTCAATTTTAAATTTAACGAATTATACCATACTAAATAACAAAATGTTTATTTCTTACATTCGTTATTCGTTTTTTTACAAGTTCGCATTTTACGCTGTGTTAGGGCGTTATAATTGTAAAGTTGTTGTTTTTTGTTAAGATTTAGTGTAATTTAATGTTTAAAACGCACTCAGTTACTATCAACCAAGCAAAAAAAACGCAAATTTCCATTTTTAAATTGGCAGAAAAAAATATTATCAAAGTTATCCTTAGCACGCTCAATCAAACTGTGGACTGAACTTCATAAGAAGAATAAAAAGACAGCATGCGAGCCAATGAAAGACATTCTAACAAAGAACTTATTTTACCATTCCTAATGCTATTAAAGGATTAAAATGTTTTGAAAAACATTGTAAATTTTATTTTCAACAATATTGGCCCGTGCACATGAACCATAAATCATCCACTCGCGCCATACAAATGCCATTAGGAGCATGCAAAATTATCTTGCTAGCATAATTTTACCATCGACATGATTAACTTTTTTATTACCACTGATATTATTGTTCATCCTGTCATAATTATCATTACCACCATTGTCATCATTATCATCGTCATTATTACCATCATCATCGTCATCGTAATCACCATAAACGTCGTCATCATCATTATAATTGAAAACAAGAAAATTAGATTTCGAATTTATTAAAGTGACATGGTAGAAGTTTGAGGCTTCTTTTATCAAGTTGCAAATGTTAAAATGGAACAAAATAATCTATTTTTTTTATGACTGGGATTAGTTTGATCATGGTAGATCTTGATCGAATAAAAACATAATCAACGAATCAATAGATTATAGGATGCGATGAAATAAAGATTTGCACTTTTGTTCAAAAGATTTTTATAAAAACAAAACGATTTTTCCACGAAAAATCCAATTGAGCTAAAAATGTGAAATTCTACATTAATGGGTACAAAATTCAAACATGCCAAAATCGTACTTGTGTTAAACATTTCAGAGGTTGACTTTCTGGAAATCAATAAAATTAATTGTTTCAGTTTTAATTATTATAAATTTGTAGACAATTATAAAAAAAATGCCAAATAAATATAATAATCGAATTTTAAAAAACAAAATAAGAGCAAACCTGAAAAAAAACTTTCTGATCGGATTTGGGAATGGTTAAGTCGCCCTTACCTCCGCTCAGCAAGAAGCACAAACCCTTGGCCCAACTCACGAAGACTTTGACGCAATTTGTCAAAAAATGGCAGATGTAGATGCACTTGGTCGGAGTAGGAACGCACCTGAATTGTGGTTCACTCACGTCCACTGATGTTAGGTTGTAAATTCTGCTGTCCAACATTTCGAAGAAAATAGTTGTGTAATTTTCTTCGGTTATGTTGTTGATCACACCATTTTGTACCCTCATCAGCCGGTAGGTCGCTGGTCTCGGCGCCACATCAATATATTTCGTGAAACTTAAAAATATCAACGAAATTGGTAGGAAATTTAATGAATTTTTGAGCATTATGTACTAAGGAGGATAAATTGGTACGTTGATTTTCAATGATAAAACTTGATATATGTTTTCAACGTTTGAAAGTCAACAAATCTTTAAGGAGTTTTTATAAACAAGGTACAATGGATCAACTGTTGCAAATAGAACTGCAAACTTAGTGCCAGTTCGTTGTTCATTTTTTTTATGAGTGAATGTTTCGAACAGATGCATTGTTTCAACCATAAATCACACAGATGCATTAAGATTGTCATCGTGATTCGAAATTTTTTTTTTAACTTTGAAAAATCTCTCATTTAAAAGGTACAGACGCAGATATACGATCGATTCGTTGAAAAATATGCGCAGTTGCCTAAAGCGCAAATTGTGTACGCGTTTGTGTGTTTATTTAGGTTGATATGCCTTCAAATGTTTTATTCTGTTGTTATTCCGTTGCCATAGAAGATATTTGCATTTATTGAAAGTAATTTTACACGTTACCCACGTACGTTATTTAAGTTGTTTTTGGTTTATTTTTCAACTTTTTTCGACAAAACTCAAAAATGGAAAAAATTAAAAACGATTCGGTGTAAATAAACATTAGTTTTGAATGTGTGAAGTCCTTGTTTAAGTATCTAAATTATTTGTGAATTGAAAAAGATTGAAGTTATTACCTTGTCCTAGATGTGCATTTAAGCAAGCAAAGTGCAAAAGTCAACTAGTTTAGAAATGAATGTTTCGAAAATATTAAAACTGTTTAGTTTAATTGTTGATCAGGATAAATAAGTAATGATTAATGATTTCCTCCTACGAAATAATATGTAGCATTCTAGAATGACCACGTGTGAATCGATGTCAAATTTTCAAGTTGAAATCCATTTCTGTGCTTGTTCAATTGGCAAACGTTCAGTTGTTGGTTGAAGTTGAAGGAGTCACATTCATATCTTCCCAGTTTCATGCACTTGAGAACGCACGAGGTGGGCCTTAATGCTGGCAATTCTAGAAATACAAAACCCACCAATCTCTGGTCTGAACTTGAAATCCACACTTGTCATGTAAATAATAAAAAAAAAATTGCACACTCGAAATTTCGCGAATTTCATATAAAACAATTTAAATTCTAACGCTTGCTGAAACTTGATGATTCATAGGCTTCCAGCTCACAAACACCCAAGTATCCGTCAGAAAGTGCATAGGCCTGCTGGGGGGGCAGGTTGGCGTTGCATCGGAGGGTGATTCGTGATGATACTGGGACGACACTTGGATACACGTTGCACACGGGATAGCCACCTCTCAATGGCAGGAAATCACTTGCCTTGAATGACGTCAGACCGATGATGAAGCTTCGCAGACGAGCTGCATCCGTATTCAGTGAACGGCTTTTGTTTTTCATTTGTGAAAGAAACTACAACGCACCGTCCAATCTTACTGATACAAGTAAAGGAAACCGAAGACATTTGTACCTTCATATTTTGAAATCATTTAAAGAAACTCAAAATCTCTTTCTTACTTAGTGTTCTTATGTAATCATTCCACACGAAAGAACACTTACTGGACCCTCTGCTCGTCAACGCGATATAATCAACGAAGAAATATCCATCCATATCCACCAGCATCCAATTAGAGCCTGTGCCTGGTTTCGAGGTTTGTGCGCAGTGCCCGTGTAGTGGTGTCGTGTCTCTTATGCCATCAACCAACAATCCAGAACTTTGCGCCAGCGACTGCTGAGTTATGCTGTTTGTGCTCAAGTATACGGAGCTCATCGAAGTGTTTTGTTTCAGTAGAAGATTTCTTTTAGGACCATTGACTGGAAAATAATTTCAAAATTTAATTTATATTCAAAGTAATTAGCAAAGTAATTTTCTCTCGTGCACTTGCCTAAGAGTTGTCAACAACAAAAACACACGGCGTGAAAATAACGTTTAATTGGTAGGTGAGGATCTCTTTGATATCAAGCCAGGTCAATGAAGAACAGAACCAGATGCCCTTAACTATTAAAACAACACCAGTGAGAGTCAAATAAACAAATCAACAAACCAACCAAATGAAAAAGAACCACACCAACCGTCGGCATATTCTCCTTGCACTTCAACCTCACAAATGTTCAGATTAGTGACAGAACTGTCACTCTGTTCAAGGAAGAGATATCTACTTGGGTATCCTGCAGCATTAGCACACTGGAATGTTACGTTGGTGTTGTTCAGTTGACTCGTCAGGTTGTAACATGTTGCCAACGTTACAAGGTTACTGTTGGTCAGTCTAACGCTTATTATTTCTGGAAATTGAGTTTTGCAAAAAAAAAACTATTATAAAAAAGCAAAAATTATTCAGTTTGAGTAATTTATAATATAAAACTAACAATAGATAATAAAATAAATCAGACGAAACTGAAACAATCACAAATGAATCTTTGAAAATGATAAAAAGTGATTGACCATGCAAAAAAAATAATGTTATAACATAGCACTATCAATCTAAAAACATTACTTGTCAGCTGCTTTTCATAAGCTCCAACCAAGTTAACTCGATATAACCAGATGAGATCAATTTGAACCCATTGGTAGCCAGAACTTTGTGAGCTAAAACAGTAAGGAGGACTCAGTAATCCATCGACAATTAGAAATCCACTGTACGGACTTGTAAACTAACTCTCTCGAACCATCTTACCCAAAGCCAAATTTTTACTGCCAAGTTGTTAGGTACAGCCTTAATATTAGGATGATGGTAATGCCTACAATGTTCGCGATGATCATTCTGAATTTAATTATAACATTACCTGCTATTTTGTTAGCGAATTTTATATTTATTTGAATTTAATTAATCATAATAATGCTTGCTATGTATTGAGTCGTGTAAAAATTCTAGAGATAGGTTTCGTCTGAATGGAAGCTTCACGGATGTATGTAAAAGGCTTTGGTATAATTATATGCCTTATGTACATTCGCATACTAAACATATACCTATAAATAAATATATATCTATTATTTCGTTTATTGATTAATTTATTCATGTATAAAACATCAATACGTATCAATATACAAAAATTTATAAAAAATATATTTACGAGATATTTTTTAAAGTTGCTTTGTGACTGTTATCGTAATCGTATTTTTAATATTCATGCTATTAACATTATTATTACTGATGTTGATGTTGTTGATGTTATTATCATTGTTAATAATGTTGTTGTTATTGTCATTGTTAACAATATTGTGTTGTTGTTGTTATTGATGTTGTTGTTTCTGCTGCTGTTGTTGTTATTATTATCATTACTATTTTAGCGTGCTCTCGAAGAATCACAATTAATGGTAGAATGAATGAATGGGTGACACAAGTAACATGAACAAAAATGCTCTTCCGTCTGTGGTAAATACGATATATACATTAATTTTCCCATTTGTCTTTGCAATTTTTCCATCCGCAAAGATGTACTTTAAAGAATGGCTTACTGAAAAGACATGTACTACGTATTATTATTATTATTCGAAAATTTGTTTAGCGCTAATTACAAACAAAATGTTTCTCAAAAGCACTGTCTTAAAAAAAAAAAAATCTTATAATGAAAACAAAAATGATTTCAATAATTTCTTGAACAATTTTTCTGTCAGTTAGGGCTGTCTTAGATGACTTGGTAGACTATTCCAAACGGCTGGTCCACATACTGAAAAACTTCTCTCAGCCATTTTCAAGTTGGTTTGGGGCACACATAACAAGTTGCTTTATATGCTTAATATTTGTGTGTCTGTATTGTTCAGTAATTACACGCAATTTTTTTTGACATACATAACTAACAGATCATGCGTTTGCTTATATGAAGAGATAATTAACTCCTTTTTTTCAAAATTAATTCAAAATACATTCAGCTTTGCTGATTCTTATCTCTGATTCTTTTGAGGATTGTTTGATTAAATTTTTAAGTGCATTGCTCATAATATGAAATTTGACTTAATTTTGCAAATATGGTTCATCAAAGCTTCTGACAAGTTCATGTTAACTTAACAAGTTTATTTGACTGCACGCACACATCTCAAGTTTGAGTCTCCACATCTGACACGTAACATATTTTTTAATGATGTTGTAGGTTTGAACAGTTTCATAAGGCAGTTAGTTATTCATTTCAGATCTTTTTCGGGACAAGTAAGCATTCTTATGAAAGATTTTCTATCCTTTCACCTTGTTGACTCCGTTCAACGTTTATCGAAAATACTCGCGTTTTTATTGTTTACATAAAATTTACATTTAAATACATAAAATCATTAATCTACAAGAATTAATCACATGAAATTATATTAATTGATTAATCACATGAAATTACATTAATTAATTACATAAAATTACATCAATTTATTTTATTTGAAAAAGGAAATTTGACTTTATAAATTTGTCATTAGTTGTGGTAGACGTTGCACGTTCGTCTGAATAGTTACATTTTCGAGACTCCATGCGAATCGATTCGTTTTCGGTATTTAATTCCAGCAACATTTTTTATTTATTATAAATTTTCTAAATTATTTCACTCAACAAACACAAACACGCGACGCATAAAAACTAAACACACGTGAATTGACGCATCGCACGCATTCGAATGCGGTCACAGCATCAACAGTGCCATGCACCTTGACAACTGCTCTATCACAACGCCAAACTCCTCATATAAATGCTGGAAAATTGGTTCTTCCAACCTAAATCTGGAACTACTGGATGCTAACATAGAGAGAATATTTGCCTTGCATTTTAATTATGCTAATATCCCCCAACACAAATCCATTGTGAGATATCGAATTAGCAATAAAACAACAATTTTTCGTATTTTGAAACCGACTGGAACGCAATTTATTTCTTATTATTTAACGATATACAAACTGATTGAATGCATGTGACCCATATTTTTGGAAATATATGGAATGTAAAGATGAGGATCCAAATAGAACACACTTTTATTCATTAGAAACATTTTATTACGAATCTAAATTACAAACTGTATAAATGACAAAATTAACCTCTCCTCTTATTGCATTTCTGTCCCAAAAATATTTTCAGCTTTCAAAATTAAAAAACTTAGTTAACATTGATGTGATTTAATTTCATTTCATCTCACACAATGGAGTCAAATTTGCTACATTAGTTTGAAGAACAAAGATTTACTTTTAAATTATATTATATGCCGACTCTTAGTACAAAACTAATAAATGTACCGATTATTTGAAAAATTCACATGCAATGGTAAAATCATTAATTTTAAAATGCAAATTTTACAACACCTCAAATCATTATACATTTTACAATCCTTACATATTAATCACAAAAGTTCGTGATAGAAATCAACGAAAATCGTACCTACGAATCGAAGAATGTCTGCCCCATGCCATAGTGCAGTTTGAAGATGTCTGCTTGTTCAAACTCTGCTGGCTCGTTCGTTTCAGTCGACTGATCACAACTCGGAATTCGAGCACTTTCCTCGTTCTGCTTCTTTTGCTCGGGCTCTTTATCGCCAGCATTGTCACCAGCGATGCCGTTCATAATCTTCCTCTCTTCCATTTTCTTCCCACCAAAGAACAAATTTCTCACAAAACTCATTTTCATAAGTTAATGAAACGACTGCGATCACTCGAGAATAACTTAAGAATAGCAGTGTAATTTGCTGAAAATTTTATTCTCCACGCTTCCTTCACCCGCTTATATAACATCTTAAGTTATCACGGGATTAACGAACTGCTTGTAAAGTTGTAACAAAGATATCTGAACAACGAACTTGAATTACAAGGCAAATTTTATAATAAAAACATTTACCAACGAAAATAATTATTAAAAAAAGATCTAAATAATAATAACTTGTATAATTTAATGTGGACTTTGTTGACAAAAAATGGATCACACCAAAAAAATCAAAAACTGCTCATAAAAACAAAAACGGAAATGTAAATTGAAAATTTTAAAAACTTGAAAACAAAACCCGGAAAATTATAAAAACTTGACTGAAATAAAGTTAAAACAAAATTTTGTTTAGTTTTTTATAAATTTTATATATAACTTTCACTTTCATTCACTCATACATTCATTCATTCATTCATTCATTCATTCATTCATTCATTCATTCATTCATTTATTCATTCATTCATTCATTCATTCGTTCGTTCGTTCGTTCGTTCGTTCGTTCGTTCGTTCGTTCGTTTGTTCGTTTGTTTATTCATTCATTCATTCATTCATTCATTCATTCAGATCCTGTTATCATAATGATACAAATCATGTTTTTTTTAATCAAACCAACAATTTGCTACCAAACAATCAAAAACATTAGCTACCGAACATTTAGAAAAATTATTATTATGAGGGATATTACGAAGACGAAGACGATTTCTCCAGTGTTGGGTAGTTCAGATAATTTACTTGGCAGACCGCCAGACTCAATGCTGTTGAAATAAAAATGATGGCCACGTAACTCAGTTCATTGGTCTGTTAGAGCTGTCGCAGAGTGACAGAGTAACTGCCATTTTCAAGTTCAGTAAATGGCTTCTAATAAAACGAAAAATAAATTTCAAAATCCAGCTTTGAGTCACGGGTTGCCTCGGGGGTTCGGTGCAGGGGTACTCGGTGATGGGTCGGTACAAGTTTCTTTTTTTTTAATTAAAAGCCAATAAATGTATACATTATTTTTATTTTTTGCTTTTGGTAACTTTTTTAAATTTTGAAATTTTCAATGAAATATCCAATAATTTAAGTTTTTTGAACTTTTTTTAATTTGAGTTAATTTTATTTTCGTGCCTTTCAACTCTTGCAACTACCACAACAATCCTTTTTCAACATTTTGCATCCCTCGAGGTTGCTTTTTACTGCATTGGCACACCACTCAAATTTATCTCCAAATTTACAACCTTCAAAAAATTTTATTCATAAAAATACATTTAATTTATTGAAAGTAAGGCATTAAAATGTTTAAAATATTGATTTTTTTTAAATGAGGTTATACATTTGTTATTTTAATTCCTACGAATGATGTTGTTTGCACCTTAGAGGATATAATAATAATTAGTCCCTTTTTAAAGTAAATGATATAAAATACTAAATTGTTATAAATTCATCAAAGACTTCGACGGCAAATTTATTTAGTGGATCAATCGCGAATGTTTCAAAAGGGGCAAATGAATCAACCACAAATGTTTCTGTTTCAGGTAGTGCGCCAAACACAACCGCTTTAATGTCAATATTCACAAGACCTACAAAAGCCGCGGATCAAATGTCTTCGTCACTTTCATCATCAACATTTTCAAAAGCAATATCTCCATTTGACCTCTCATCATCAACATTCTCGTCCTCACCATCAACAACACCATCACGGATATTGATTTCAAAATTTTCCGTCGTCAATATAGACAGCATAATTTACAACATGACATCCCTGAACGTCAGTCAGTCTCAAACTGGATGCATTCCTGACATCATCAAATGCCTCTACATCTGCCATCTCGTAAAAAACTGCACCGGGGCTCGCATTGACAGAGCTTCAAATACATGCTCCCTGATCAAAAATATAAACAACAGTGGCCAGAAAAATTGTTTCACTGCAGTGAGTTATTGAAAAATTAATAGTTTGAGTTATTAGGAACTTATTAATTTTTAAATGTATTATTAATAAATTAATTAATTTTTTAACTAAGGCTCATTATAAAGCATCGTTCATCAAGACTAAGTTACATTATGATGTATTAATAATATTAATCCAGCCTGTGTTAATTTTATTACAACTGCAAAACCAGCAGTGAGCAAACGATTGGGTGAAATAACCATAAATAACAAAATGTCTTTTATTTTAGATAACTACCGACTCACTAAAGAATAGATTCTACGTGTGATGCTAAAGATACCATATGGAAATAAGAAAACCAAGAAATAATACTTTAAATAATAAACGCTGGTTACCTATTGGTATAAAATGTAAAACAACAAGTTGTCATGAACAATGTTATAGCTATTTCTTTAAATTACATAAACTTTTAGATAATAATTTTACGTGTCTGTGATGAATATGACGATGATGATAAAAACAACGATGATGATAATAAAGATGATGATGATAATAACAATGATGATAACAACGATGATGATGATGGTGATGGTTATGATGTTAAAAACGAAAAGAATAGTGGAAGTATTAATAGTAGCAGTTGTTGTAGTAGTAGTAGTAGTAGTTGTTGTTGTTGTTGTTGTAGTATTGGTAGTAGTATTAGTAGTAGAAGTAGTAGTAGCAGCAGTAGTAGTAGTAGTAAAACTATACCAGAACTACGACTAATACTTTTACATCTATGTTGAAGTAATTCTTTTTATCACTTTACACCTCTCTGCCACCTTCGTACCTGCTCGTCAACTTAGAAGGCTTTCCCTCATTGTCATTTTCGGTGTAGTAATGAGTAACGTTTGTGTGTCCTTTCCTCCAATCAAACTGTCCTGCGGATTGAATTAACATAAATTAACATAAATTTAAATTTTAACCGATAATATAGGATTTTAAGACATTATTACGGAAAGTTAGAGGCTCAGGGCTAGCAAAACTTATTTATCCGTACTTATCTATAAGGGAATAATTTTTACAAACATTGCGGACTAATCGAGCCAACATTTGTTTACATGAAAAAATACTTGAAATATAAATTAATTAATTAATTACATTTAATTTTATAATAATTATTTTTACTCCTATAAAAATAATAATTATTATTTTGACTCTTTTGCAACCTAACCAATAGAACGGTAGTTGAAATGGTGATCGACATTTTGGAAGCCGGTGTTACTAACGCCAGGTTTTGATAGATGAACGCATACTACTGTGTTTGTCAGGTCTACTGAGGTGCAACCTACGCATGACGATGATGGTGATGAAGATGGTGATGAAGAAGATGATGGGAAGAAGAAGAAAATGATAAAGATGATGGTGAAGAAGATGATGGGAAAGAAGAAGATGATGTGGAAGAAAAAAATGATGTCGAAGAAGAGAGAGGAGAAGATGATGTTGATCAAGTGATCATATTAAACATAATCCAATTAATTTCTAACTTATTCACTCAATAAATACAATGGAATAATTGATAAAACCCATCAAATAATTAATATTAGATCAATTAAATAATTAATTGAGTAAAATAAATTTAATTAATTGAATCAAATAAATTTAATTAATTGACTCAACCAACCCATCATGTTAGCCATGGCTAGAAGATAGTTATCATAAGCGGCTCGTCCAATCACCACGTCGGCTAGAGCCGTCCAGTTGTACCGACTGCCATCTCTGGTGTAGATGAAATAGTCAATTGCATCAATGTACCTTAACTCTCCAGTTTTGGCTAGCTTAGCTAAATTTGGCTTGTCAAAATGTTCGGCGAACTTTTGAAATATTTCTGGAGTTAAGGAAACCGGTTCGGACGCTTTTGTCGGCGTTTTGGTTTTTCGAATTTTCTTTGGAGTATTTGTTTTTCCTGTTGTTATTGTGGCTTCAGCTGTTTTTGTTTGCTGTTGTTGGTGCTGTTGCAAGGGTAGTACGGTATTGTTGCTGTAAAGTGAAACATCTGTGCGTCTGCCAACTAAGAGGACGTTGTTGTCGAGTGGATGTTGTAGGTATCTCTTTATGAAAATTAGACTGTCTATTAAACTTTGGTCAAACAATAAATCGCCTGAAGGGAAGATAAAGGGGATGAGGAAGTGGACAAATTGACTATTGTAAAAATATCATTATTAATAATTGTGATGTGATGACGAAACAGATTATCGTTATGCAAAATTTTAAAAATATTATACAAAAAACAAGATAAATAATGAAAACACCGACTAACCACTAGCAAATCCATAAAACGTGGCATTGTATGTTTGAAAAATTTTTTTAAACATTGGCTTCAGGAAAGGAGTTCCATGAATGTTGACAGCTGGAATGGGTAGGAGATCCCACCCATAAAAAAACGCAATCTCAGACAAAGAGGCCTCAAATAGTGGCTCATTATGGTTGGCTACAATTGCTGCTGTCAGATTGTAAAATTTAGGAGTTAGTGTTGAATTTGTGAAGAGGACGGGTTTGATGAAACTTAAGCCAAAAGAGGCCCAATTTTTTGTGACAATTTTGTGAGCCAGTCGGTGGTGCGTGCTTTCGGAGTCGTCCTTGAACGTAGTGAATAAGATTATGAGGGGCTGTTCTGGTTTGGTGATGGGTTCAAACCCCGACAGAGATGTTGTTGTCCATAATTCTGTAGGATTAAGTTTAATGTTAACGTTTATTTTTTTGCTGTGTATAATTGTATATGTTGTACATGTATTGTATGCGGTGTATATGTTGTACATGTATTGTATGCAATGTATATGTATATTGGTTTTGCCGTGTGTACTATTAATACAATAAACACGTTTGTTTTAATGATTTAATATTATGATCAATTTATGTTATGTTAGAATATGATGAATAAATCACAGCTATAACAAAATAAATTTACGACAATGAAACTTTATCAAACAAGTTAAAATAAAAAATAATAATTGAGCAAATATCTAAATAAAATAAAATTTATTAAATTCAATTAATTTATTAGAATCTAATCCCTACCTTGGTGAACTTTTTCATTGAACTGACACTGGGACCTTGATAGACTCCAAAATTTTGACGCGATCAGAATTAAGGCGACGATAATGATTTTGAAACACCGTCTCATGGTGATGATGATGATGACGACGATGATAACGATGACGATGATGATGACGTAGACGATTATAATACGGATGATTTATGATGAAAGAAATTGCTATACCAACATCAAAAATTTATATTTCTTATATAATTTTTTTCAAGCCATTTATTTATAAATGAACATTTAAAATAACAATGCGCTTGTCAATAAAGTTTATCGATTTACAGGATTAAACTTAATAAACAAATAAATTTGTATAAAAATCAGCATCCGAAAGAGCTGTGAGTTTATTTAGATTTATTTTTATTTTTTAGCAATCCACCCTCAACATCGCCGCGTTAACTAACTTTTTATCTCGAATGAAAGTGATTAAGAATGTAAATAACCACGTGTAACACATACATGCATAAGCAGTACAAACACATACACGCACACACACATACTCACACACACATTCACACATACACAGTACACACACACACACACACATTCACACAGTACACACGCACATACACAGTACACACACACACATACATACACACACACACACACACACGGTCATAGTATATACGCAATAGTCAGTCAAAGATTGGGCAAGGATACAAATGACTCCTAACTTTTTAAAAAATCTAAGAAAACTATTCAAACTACTGGATTTTATATTTAATTTAAAATCAAATAATTGTGAAATTTGTTAAAAATTGAAGGATGAGTTGAATAAATGTCGCCACGATTTTCCAAATAAAAATAGGCCTTTCTCAACAAAAAATCGCTGCAAACCGCCGTCATATAATAATAATAATAAATATAATTTTTCTATTATTTTTATTTATTTCGTAATTTTTTAATATGCATTATCATAAATCCTAATATTACTGAAAATGTTTGAGAATTATTGGATGAATCAATAAGAGAAACGCAGTACGTGATTTGTAATTATTTTTTCGTTTGATAGCAAGTCGCACGAATCTGCCTTGAAAAAAAGTTTTGTATCGACGTTTGTTTATCACCGTTAGTAAATGGCTTGAAAAGTTGCACATACATACATACATACATACATACATACATACATACATACATACATACATACATACATACATACATACATACATACATACATACATACATACATACATACATACATACATACATACATACATACATACATACATACATACATACATACATACATACATACATACATACATACATACATACATACATACATACATACATACATACATATGTACATACATATGTACATACATGTGAGGTAATTCTAAAGAAAAAAAAAACTTTATGTTTATTTTAAATCCCTAAAAAAATTTGGTATAGAAAACTTCATTTAAATTTTTGTCTTTTATTTGGTTATTTATTTCAATAAATTGTTACGTGATACGTTTTCAAAGAGGAAAAAACCTATCAATCACAGTTATTTCAATCCCATCAAAGATCTGCTGCTTTGTCAAATTAAAATCTATCGAATAAAATAAAACTGCAGGAAATTGATTAAATAATAAAATGAACTAATTATAAAAATAATAAATATAATAATAATAATAAAGTTAAACAGTTATAATAAACTATTTGGTTGAAAAATTAAGGGGAAAAAATTGAAGTTTGTGTGCATGTTTTATGTTTGTGTTTTGTGTATGTGTGTTGTGTATGTGTGTGTTTGTGTGTGTATGTGAGTCTATATATGTGAGTGTGTTTGTGTGTGTATGTGCGTGTGTGAAATACGTTTCTTATTTCTAGATAATTAATTACCCATTAAAGAGTAAATAACTACTTTTTATTCATTTTATTTCTGCAACTAGGAAGTTATTCGTTAACGAAATTTAAAATCAAAAAGAGAATGAGAGAGAGAGAGAGAGAGAGAGAGAAAGAGAGAGAGAGAATAAAATGAATAAGATTGCTTGCTATATAAATGTCATTTCAATCACACATGTGTTACTCGCTTGCATGTTATATTATATGATTAAGATCAACGTTCTTATGTGAGCATTTGGCAACAACTAAATTTAATTTTTAAGATTGCAAATAATTTAAAGTTGTGATAATTTTGGCTGGCAGTTGATGAGAAGATGAAAAAGGCGATATTTGCAATTTCGGCCATCGTTGTCTTGATTGCGATTATCCAAAACTTGGTTAGTTCGGTTAAAATCACAATGTTTTGATGTCTCGAAAGATAGGATTAAATCACTTGAAAATGCGTGATATTGGCATATTGTCAATTCACACAATCAAATAATCAGCCAACAATCATTTCCAAACAAGCTTATTCAAATTTTTTTTTCTTTCCACAATTTTTCGACTCAACCACTATCATTTTGGTTTTAATTTTTGATCTGTAGTTTAAAACCCCTGTAATAGGATGGCTGATGAGCGTTTAGTCAAACTAAAACTTCTTGAAGTCTTAAAAAAAATCAAAGTAAAGAGAAATGTCATTTCATAGATCTTTGATGAATAGTTTAATAAATTTGTAAACTAACTACGTCAACGGCATTAGTTAATTAACGGAAATGAATCAATCAAAAAATGAAACGATCAAAAAAAACATCTTTCCAGATGGTTTTTTTATTTTCAAGTAGATACACAACAACTGTAAGATTTGAAGAGGAGCCAGTGACAGGTTTGTGGAACATTTCGATACGAAGTTGCGTTAAATGTGCAAATGACGGATGGTAATTTGTTTAAAATTTTGAATGCAGCAGATGATTAGATCAAACATATTGTAAATGTGTGTAAATGATTGACAATTTCGTATATCTTTTCAAATAGTAGGCAATTGTTTGTATATTAAAAAAATATATATATAGACGTAAACTTTTTCTCAAATTTTGTTGTAATGGTATGCTACATCTAAAATGCATATCCATAAAACGGTCAGTTCAACAAAAATTAGCCAATAACTTTCCAAACAAAACCAACCAAACCAGACGCAGAAATCCACGATGAAACTATGGACAAAGATGACCGGAAATTATACTCCAGCATCGAGCATCCAGTTTTAGTTTGGTGGTCATCATTCACAAGTGATAAAGGTTCTTTAAGGCAGTGTGGCCCAAACAGATGTTTTGTCACTATTAAACGAAAATTTAAACATCATGCCAAACTCAAAGTGTTTAAAAATTAAATTTACGACGCAAATTTATTGATTATTTAACTGATGTAAATATTTTTAGGCATTTTTATTTTACGGAACTCACCTGAAATTAGGAAATTTACCATTACCAAAACTACACGACTGGGCTTTATTCCACGAAGAATCTCCCAAAAATAATAGGTTCATCTTCTCGAATGAAGAATTCTTGTCTATGTTTAACTACACCAGTACTTTCAGAAGAGAATCAGACATGCCTTTAACTACCTTTCATTTGCATTCGTTGGACTCTATAACGAGTACTAAAGTAAGTACATTTGAATGATAATTCAAACTTTTCAATTTTTTGAAAAGGTATAATCTTTTTTAATTAATTGATAAGTAAAATTACATTATATAGTGATATGACAACCAATTTCTAAATCATATTTTTGGAAACATTGCATGCCTCGAACAAAAAAAATTAGCTTTAATTTCTTCTTAATTTAGAACTTAAATTTAAATTTGATGTGCGTTAAATAAAAATCAGTTCTTCAAAGCCACCGAAATAAAGAATGAAATGTTATCGTCGGGCAAACTCTCCTTGGTAGCCTACATCCACAGTGACTGCGACGTTCCTTCGGATCGAGACAACTTGATGCTTATGATACAAAACTACATTCAAGTAGATTCTTATGGCACTTGCCTGCACAACAAGGAGCTCCCAGAAAGGTTTATCAAAGTTAATATCTAATTTCCTGTCATTACGGTCGCTTCATTTTCTGAAATAACACCAACTTACTACCTTATATTTACACGTGCATCAAGATAATAGTGACAAATGTTTGTTAAGACTTTCAGATCCCATGCGGATGAACGATGATGCTTTCTTTGAAATTCTGAGTTACTACAAATTTGTCTTTGCTACTGAAAATGTTCTCTGCAGCGATTACACGACTGAAAAATTCTGGAGAGCCATTGAAGTTGGTTCTGTTCCCATAGTGCTTGGATCCGATAGAATTAAAGTACATTTCAGTCATTTTTTCCATTTCATTCATTTTCAGATTTTTCAATTGTTGTGCCTGTTAATCATGTTAAAACTTCCATGTAATAAAAAAAATTTCTTTTCTATCTTTTGATTTTTTTTAGTTTAGTTTAGCAAAAAAGTTATGTTTATTGTTTCGTTGAATTTATTTGTACATTATGATTTTCCAAGGATTTAATGCCACATAACAAAGCGGCCATTCTTGTGAAAGATTACGAAACGGTGAAACAATTGGCTGATCACCTAATTTACCTTAGCGATAACGACGATGAATATGAGAAATATTTAATCCACAAAACGCAATCAAAAATCACGAACAGCCATCTGGTTCAAGAAATGATGGACCGATCCTGGCATAACGACAAATCAGGACATTCCAATTACTCCAGTGAATTTGAGTGCATGGTTTGCAACAGAATACATGAAAATATAAAATTTAATAATTATGTTAAGCGTGTTGCTGACAAGTCTCACTACGGCTGCCCGAGACCAACCAAATTTTCCAATGAGCCTGCTGGTAACCTAACCATGATCCCTTCTGATTCAACGTGGGCTTTGGCCTTTGACGAGAGTGCGAGAATTGCAAAAGCTTTTCAAAATCTTTTATCGTTAAACAGGACACTAACTAGACAAGAAATTATTGCGAAAAGTTATGATTATTATTAATACTCTATTCTATAAAATGAATATTTTTTCATATGCTTGTGATTTTTCAAACTCATTTAAATTAAAATCAACCTACCTAATTATTTTATACAAAATTCAAGACAGGTGATTGAGACTGCTTTGTTTTTGATAATATGGTCAAATGAAGCGATATTACAAGTTTTTATATAGTGCTGGTGTGTGTTAGAGCTGTATCACCAGAATATCATTCTCATGATGATCTCACTATAGAGATGGAACAGGTCTGGAGAGAATACACAGCCTTGCGTAACATCTTTCTTTATTTCGACAAAACTAGTCATCTTGTTACCAGCTTTAATCGCTGCTCTCTGTTCACAACTTTTGCCAAGAAAACCATCGACAACCACAAACCAAATCAAAAAACATGAAAGTTACAAGTTTAATACAACTTTTGCTGTGGCAACATGGAACTGTAGAACGTTCTACCAGACAGGAAATTTTGAAAACCTAAAACAAGAAATGAAAAGAATAAATTTCAGCATTGTAAGTTTGAGCAAAATTCGGTGGAAGAAATCAGGTGTCATTACTTTTGAAGAAGGCAAATTTATTTACATAATTATTTAATTTTAGGGGATTCACATGAACGAGGAGTAAGTGTACTTTTTAACAAAAAAATGTCTAAAAAAGTAGGAGGGCAGTGTCAGATTGAGCTTTGTTGGTCAAGAAAAATATTTATGTATATTCTAATTATATGTGTATACGTATTTTTAAAATGTGTTAAAAATGTTTTCTGGTTCTAACTTTATTAACGTTTTTGTTTGTGAGATATTGTGCGTCGTTGTTTATTGAATAAGTTTCGGCTATTTAGTTTTTTTTAAATTAGGTGGCTGTCTTTAAATTAATAAATAAATTTTTGAAATATTATGAAAAGAAGAACAAACGAAACGACGGACAGCAAAGGAAAGTACCACAGGCTGAAGAGGACCAGCGATGATGGCTTCAATGATCTTCAGGTACTTGGTAGTCTCTTTTTTTTCTTCTTCTGTAAATCAAACTCTGTCAGATGCAGAAAAATTATAATCCCCTTCACTTAATAATTAAAATATTATGAGTGCTACTAAAATTAAAAACGATGGTTTACTAATTTACAATTTAATTTACTTTACAAACTTTTTTTATTTTTTTTTACACATTTTACATGCCTTACCCATGGCTTACCATTTACAACATTTATTTTACTAGTTAAAATTTACCTTTGTTACAACATACTTACTAAATATTTAAATGTAAATCTTTATCTTATTTACAAATTTTAATTATTTTCTTTTTCTTCTAACTTACTAACTAAATTTAAATTTTTTATAATCATGATAATTTAAAAAATTTCTTCCCTACCTAGTATTAATAGATTTATTTATTATTGTCAATGAAATTAGCTGATTTAACCACATGTTTTTCAGTCAGATTTGATTTAAAAAATTCGAGTTATGTTAGGTATAGTGTAGTATAGTCAGTTTTTTACTTTATTCACAGTTGTATTAATTTAAAAAAATTAATTTAAACTAAAAAGAATATTTTTTTTGTTAGTTTGAATACATAATAATAGAAGCTAATATATTTCTTCATCATTTCAGTTTAAAGGTCCTCCAGAAAAAGTGCCATACAAAGCCATAACATTAGCATGTGTCTTATTTATCTTTGGTTTTCTTCTCATACTTATTGGGTCCTTGCTTTTGTCAGGACACATAAATGCAGAAGTTTGTGTTTTTTATTCATTTTTTATTATTATTTTTATAATAAATTTCATTTTATATTTAGTTAGATCATTGTAAATGAAAATTTTTCTTCATTTTAAAATGTTGAACAGATATTGATATTCATTTGTTTAACGTATGGCATTCATTCGTGTTTTTTTCTTTATTTAAACAGTAAATTTTACTTCAGATGAATTCAAATATATACAATTTCTTCAGTTTTTCAGTGTTTTAATTTTTTTGATTTTCAGTATTCTGACAGGACATGGCCCCTTCTAATATTAGGCAGCCTGATGTTCATCCCTGGATCTTACCATGTGTACATTGCATACAAAGCTTGGAAAGGCGCTGAAGGGTACTCCTTTGATGACATTCCAGAATTCGATGACTAAATGATGACTGCTCATTATTTGATAGGATCATTGGTTGGGTGGTTGGTTGATTGGTTAGTTGGTTGGCAAGCTGGCCAACTGACTGATTAATCAATCAATTGATTCATTGATGGGTTTATAGATTGATTCATTGATTGATTCATTGATTGAATGGTTGATTGATTAGTTGACTGATCAATTAACAAGTAATTTATTTTCATTGTTTATTGTAAGATGAATTGATTTTTGCATGCTGAATCTGTTTTTTTCTATTTTTGACATGTTTTTCATGGTTATTTATTTAAGCTATTTAGTTTTTGATATGTTTAAAAATGTTTTTAAATTAAATAAACATAATTTTTTTTTAAAAATTATTTTCATCCCTCTATTTATAAATAAGATTTGTAAATAAATAAGATATGTAAATAAATCTTTTCTCTTGTTTTTGAAGAAAATTTGTTTAAAAGATTGTTCCATTTCAACACCCATCATTAAAATTGGCATGGACACAGCATTGCCTTACACAGATGTGATGAACTTGTGGGCTGTTTACTGTCTGCTGTAACTGTAAACATTGTAAACTGTAAATCTCAGTTTACAATGTTGTTATAAAATTTTTGAATATACATTTGTAGAACTGTTGAATATACAACACGTCACAACTGGTAACAAATATAAATACAGTTACGTACCTACACACACACACGCACACAAACACACGCTCACAAATACGTACACACACACGCGCGCGCAAAGAAACACAAGCGAACACATACAAAATTATTGTTAGTTTATAACTGCACTATGTTTTCATCGATTTGCCAAAATATATTTTTTCATCGACATATTCGTATGTGGGTTATTAAAATTAGTTTTACTTAACAAAAAGCTACATATATCTAGATAATTAATGCTTATATTTACTATACATACACACATAGATTTAAATTTTAACGTTTATTTTATTAATTTGCTCAGTCATTCATTCATTTATTCACTGACTTAACTCTAATAACTCTAATATAAGCCACGCGCCTGTCGGGTTCACTTGCTTCTGAGTTTCATGTTTTTGAATTTGATTCAAGCGAATCTGTTGTCGTATCTTTTTTTTATTAGGCAATTCGTTACGGTAATATTTATAATAGTTAATAAACGCGAATATTTAGTTACGGGGTATAATGGTATGGTTAAAACGCCGTGCTGGGGCATGATGGTAAATCCCGCCCGTCCGGATTAATTCAGTTAATATCTTCAATATTATTTCTGCCTCGTCGTTATCTATATTTTATTTATTATTCTTTCAAGTCCAGACACTCGACTGATCCTGAAAATATGAAGTAAGATTGGATAATATCGAAGTTACTATGCGCTGAATGCAGCAGGTTGTTCAAAAAGAATTAGAAATTTATTAGAAATTTTATTAGAAATTTTCCGAATCTTTGGTTGTATAGTCATTGATTCAGTTACTCTTTGATTAAACTGATCTCTTTATTTTAATTTTTTGTAAGTTTAAAATAATAATGATGATACATAACATTTTTTTGAATGATGTAAGTTAATGTTTTGATGAGAGAAAAGGAATGAATGTTGAACGTTCAAGAAAAGAATAGCCGTTAAGTAGCTCAGTTTATGTTCACAATCAATTAACCAATTGATCAATCAATCAATCATTCACTCAATCAGAATTGAATTTTAAAACAAAAAAAATTAGGTGATCGGTAGACATAAATAAATAAATAATAAATAAACTACAACAATAACGTGTTAAAGTCAATTTAACAACAGCACTGAAAATGATAATAAAAATGTAAATAATAATGAAATATAATTATTATTATTGTTATTCAACATAGTAAAAATAAAATGGATAAGCAAGATTGAATGACGCTAATAATATACTGTGATCCCATTCGTTCCAACAGCTGGTCTCGTTATCGTCATAATGCTTGCGTTAATCGTCTCCTTTAGATTTAGATTATCGTGAATTTGAGAATAATTCATAAATGGTTATAATAAAATAATAAATAATTATAATGATAATTACTAAATATTAAATAAATAAATAATAGTGAATAAATATATGGAATAATATAATAAATAAAAATATCGTGAGGTATTAGTAGGAATTTTTGCTATTGTGTCATGGTAACCAAATTCGAAGGCCTTTGATGATGACAGTAATAATAATAACAATAATATAATAATAATATAATAATAACAACAACAACAAGAATAACCTGTGATGAGTTAAGATTATCGAATCTATCATTATTACTGTACGTATTGTTGTTGTTGTAACTAGCATTGCTCATGTTGGAGTTGGTCTGAATGATGTGTGGTTTGTTGTGGTAGGTGGTGGCGGTGGTTCCTTGGCGCGAAGACGGCGGCGACGATTGCAGCGGCGATGCGTCGTTGGACGGATGTTTGCTGTGAATGTTCAGTTTATCCGTGCTTATTGTTGATACCGTTGTCGAATTTCTAGTGGTGTTGTTGCTGTTGGTGTTGTTAGTGGTGTTGTTGATGGTTAGTTGGTTATTTGGTGGGTCCTGGGCGTATAGTATGTTTCGACTTTTTCTTGGGGGAAAATTTTTTTATTCAGGTAATAATTTTTATTTATTTTATAATCAGAAAAATTACGACA